CCAGAATTCCCCAGCCAGCATGGGGAATTCTGGGAGTTGAAGTCCACATATCTTAAAGTTGTCATCGTTGAGAAACACTGTTCTAGAGGGACACAGCCTCACCTTGTTTGTGTTTCAGTTTATGGGACTGAATTTTCAAAGGTGTGGATCCAGAACTGAAGAGCTTCTTGCTGTTGCTGGCCATTGCCAGTAAGCCCAAATAATCCCCCAAAGATGTTGGATGTCAGATCTTGACATACAATACTATCTTTGTAAGGGTATTCCTAAGGACCAGAGAACAGCCCCATTGGCAAATCCTGGGAACAATGGTTTTAATTTGGTTCCATTGTGCAGAATATTTTCTAAAGGTAAATAACTTTCTGAGATAAATGAGTAATGACAGAAATGCATTTGGCCTGTAGTGGTAGTCTTCTGTAGCAGTTCTCTGTCCTGCCTTTAATACATATTAAAATAATGCTGATTGATTGATTGATTTGATTGATTGATTTTGCTTATTGTTAAACCACTAATGCTCTGTACTCTTTGGTGGAGAAAATCGTTAATTTTTTTAAGTAAACCTCAGCATGAGAAATAAGATTTTAAAATCAAGATAAACCTTAATATAATCCTCACTTTGGCAAGGGGGGGGGGTCTATATAAATCTGAGTAAATTCTGTTATCCCATTCTAAATTTTCCTGTCTTTTCCCAAATTTAGGAGTCTCAAATGAAACCCAGTTTGTCTTCACCCTGCAGAGTATTGCCATGGCACAGAAACTAAAAGGGACCTTGTCATTTATAATCAAAGTAAGAGCCTGTTATCCCTTGCCAGTCCATGTAGTTCACTACTGGGAAAATATTAAATAGGACATATTTAACATCAGATTTTTATTTCTCAAAGAGATAAAGCTCACTGGTTAGCTTGAGTGATTTGTATTTTCATCCTGGCCTGATCCCTCTAGAGTACCTGTAATAACAGCTCATGCCTCCTTTGTCTTGTTGCCAAATATACATATTTTTCATCATGCTTTTCGGATGAACATAACCTTCAGAAGTAACTCACATCCATTGAGCAAAACACACAGACACTGCCCCCAGGTTTACAAATCTAAAGAAATTAATGCAAGACCCCATGACTTATCAACCAGTATATTTTTATAAAATTGGGCCTATCCTAAATAACTTCTGCTTATGGCTTTGCTTGGGTAAAGGTAATGTGACACCCCAGAAGGCTTTGTTACTCCAGTCAATGGCAGAAGCCAGAGTGTCCTTGTCCTTATTACAACTTTGAGGCAACTGGTAGCTCGACAGAGATCTTTTTCTCAAGGAAGTGGGAATGGAAGTCCCTGCAGTTGTTCCTTGAGGCTTCCCCCATTGTAGCACCTTTCCCAGAAGAGTAGAAGCATGGTCCCCAAGTGATCATTCTTTATCTAGGCCAATATTTTTCAAACTTGGCAACTTTAAGATGTGTGGACTTCATCTCCCAGAATTCTGGGAGATGAAGTCCACACATTTTAAAGTTGCCAAGTTTGAAAAACACTGGCCTAGGCAATGGTGGAGAATGGAATTGCTTTCTCTTGCTGTGTATAAGGGGAGAACAGAATCCATACATTTAGTCATATCAGGAGGATAAAATGTCTGGTTCTATTTGGAATGATGGTGTACAGGTAATCCTTACTTAACGGCTATTTGTTTAACAATGGTTCAAAGTTCCGACAGCCACGGAAAAAGTGCTTTACAACCTATACTCGCACTTATGACTATTGCAAACGATTGCACCAGCCCCCACGGTCATGTGATCGCAATTTGCTACCTTTTTTATGACAGTCGTTAAGCAAATCACTTCAGTCATTAAGCAAATCACTGTGGTCATTAAGCAAATCACCACAGTCATGAGTGAATTCCAGCAAAAAAATGTCCACTGGAGAAGCTGGATTCGTTTAATGACCACGTGATTCACTTAACAACTGCGGTCATGTGATTTGCTTAATGACTGCCCCACTTAAAAACCAATTTTCCGGTCCCTATTGTAGTTGTTAAGTGAGGACTACCTGTATTTTAAAGGCGTGTGTGAGCCTTCTGACTCCCTTCCCTTCCCAGTATCATTTTGGGCTGATGTTCTTTTGAGAATGTTTAAACTAAGTCTCATCCACTTGTTCGACAACTGTTTTTGGTCCTGCGGTTCACCTCCATTTGTCATTATGCTGCAGGACGATGAAGGCTCAACACATGAAAAGTTAGACTTCAAACTGTTCTTCAGTTGTGCCTCTTACCTTATTACGACGCCCTGTTACAGGTAGGCTACTCCCTGAAAAAAACAACTTGTTCTTCACCTGTTAAAAGAAACATTTACTGGTGCTGTTAGGTCAGCATTATTATTCTTTGAATGCTGTTGGTGTGACCTGATGAATTTGCAGCCAAAAACTTAACTACAGTGAAAATGTAAAAAGAATCAATGCACCAGGTTAAGTAGAAGAAGAATATGATATTACTTCAATTACACACACTTGAGCTTAATTACAGAGGTCCGTGGCATAACTCCTATGGGTAGCAGAGCATTTGTCACAGCCAAAAATTGCCCCTGCACATTTTTAAAATGAACATATTTTCTTTAAAAATGGCCCAGATCTCTTGAGATTTGGGTAATTGCACAGAAAAATGCTGAAGTTTATTAAACTTGCAAAAGCTCATGTTCTCACACAGGATTTCAGGATGAAGTAGCTAAAATATCATAAACTGTAGCAGTCTAGCAAGATTTAGGTAAATTTAGAGGAAGAGTAAACAAACTAATGCCTTGTCCATTAATGGAAAGTAGGAGATTGGGTCAGTGTTTTCAGAGACATGTGGGTTTTGCAGAAAGTTTTGAAGAAGAAGCAGCATCATGCATGCATGCTGGGAGATGTCCAAGTACTCAAGGTAGAATCTTTGAGGAAATCTTGAGAGAGTTAGAGTGGTATGAAGAGAGCATAAAGAGTTTCCCTTCACAGCATCCATCCTTGAGTATTAATTGTACCTGTGAGAACACCTCAGTGGGGAAATTAATGGAAATGGCTGGTTTTTGCATTAAAATTAGCATACATTCAGAACATGCAGAATCCAGCAGAGTATAATGTAATTAGAAAAAGATAGGATGATTGCTGTTGAGTAATGGGTTATTCAGGTGTAAAGTATAAATTATTGTAGCAATTTCATGACATCTCATGTTACTCACAGCAGCATGCCTGTAGATGAATAAATGGAAATAGCTGTCTGGAGGGTTTTGTTGTCAACCATGTTGTAAACCCTTCATATTATTCCTTGGATCTGCCTTTTTCTAATGCTTGTCTAAAGAACACACTTAGCCGATTACCAGTGGAGAGACAGCATCCCTGAAGATTACAGAAAGTAAAAATGGACTGAAATTGGGAGAGGTTTTGAAATCCCCTTTAAGGCAGTACCGGAACAGGTCAAGGTAGAAATTAGCCATTCTCTATTTTCCAACTTTCTCTACTGCTCATCTAAGCTACTTCCTCTTTGTGTTTTCCACAGTGATGCTTTTGCCAAGCTGTTGGAGTTGGGGGACTTGCATGCCAGCTCAGTCAAAGTTGATGGCATTACCATTCCTTTCCATCACCTCCTGGCAAAAATTTGCTTCCACCATCATTTCTCTGGTGAGTTCCTGCTAAAAAGACTCCTTACTCCTAAGGTATCACGTGTATTGGCTTACAATTCTGCTGCTGGGCATAAATTTGCGTACATCAGAGTGACCCGAAGATTGGTGAAGAACTCGCTTACCAGAGTTGACAGCCAAACATTGTTGGTCTTTAGCCCTGGTTTCTTAACACTGAACAGGGGGTAACCTGTAACCTGGGTAATCTTCCCAGTCTGGCAACCTCCACATTGGTTGGGACTCTAACTTCCAGAGTTTCCCAGTTCTATGTTCTGGGACTTGCATCCCAATGTATCTGGAGAATGTTAGGTTGTGAAAGACTGGATTTTTTGCAAAATCCACTCCAGCTAGGATTCTGAAAATGGTTGCATGCAAGAGTGGACCCTAAATTCCAAAACTCTATGCCATAATTAAATGCTGATAGCTGTATTTGCTGCAACAAATGTAGCTGTTTCTCTGGAAGTTAATTTTTTTTCTAATTCTTCTCATTTGCTCCCTTTCTCTTAATATCAGTGCCCCAATATTATTTCTGGGTTTATTCATTTATAATGCAGCAATTGCTCTTCCATCTCCCATATTGAACGTGCTTATATGTGTGTAAAGCAGGTATTATAAGAGAAGTAAAGCAAAAATGTGAGATTAAGCATTTTGCAAAAGCTGTTTGAAAGGAAAATTGTTATTGCTAGTTTGTTACTCCCAGTTCAAAATAGCGCAATGAAAGAGTACATGCTTTGCCTGAAGAACATCCCTGGTTAATACATTAAATATCAGGAAGTGCAAGCAAGTTTTTCCATGCCTATGATGCTGCAAAATTGCTACCACTTGAGAATAGGCAACATTTAACTAGATTGACTGAGGTGGTCTCCTGTTTCAGATGCAGGAGTGTCTATTACAGTATTTGTCAACCTGAGCAACCTTAAGATGTGTGGACTTCAACTCCCAGAATTCCCCAGCCAGAATTCTGGGAGTTGAAGTCCACACATCTTAAAGTTGCCAAGGTTGAGAAACATTGATCCATTATATAGTAAATACATTCTGCTGTGGGTGTAAGTCAGCTTTTCCTAACCTCTGATGCCTCCAAATGTCAGTGAAAGTTCTTATCTTGGAAATGATAGAACAAAAGAGGCTCCCTATTTTCCTTGTCACATTAATGAGGCACCCTTCAGGGCAAATTTTTTCCAAGGGCTAGCTGTGGTAAATGATTTCAATCCATATACTACCCTTTGTCACAGAAGTTTTCCTAGGGCAAGTTACACAACCATTTACAATCATAATCCAGAGTGCAAACAATACTTTATAATCAGAAAAAAGTAAAATAGCAAGAATAAAGTTAATTGTAGAAATTTCATGGAAGCTTAATGGAGTAGCTGAAAAGACCATTTCTGAGCAGCCAAGAAGAATCTGCTCCTCTCAACTAGGAATTCCTAGAGAGGTATCTTGAGATTTTAAAAAGGGCATTAAAACCATGCAAGCTTGCAGGAAGCTTCCTATTGTAATATTGTGCAAATTGCTGCTCTGTTTTTGTCTCATTACTAAGAGGAGAAATTTAATTTCTAGTGCTTCTCAAACTACTTCCCATGAGAAAACTGCTAATTCTGTAAGGCTTCTGTGAGGCCAAAAGCATCTACTCTTAGAGGAGATGTCTTGCTACATCTGATTTGCTGTGTTGATTGTCTCATTCCAATTACTTGCTGGAGCTAAGTAATTCTGCTGCATCTGCATCAGTGTGATGTGGTCAAGATCCAGGGATGCACATCACAGATGTGCCCTAGAAGAAAGTGCTTGTTTCTTTTCTGGGCAATGAAAGAGGAAAGCAGACACTGAAAATTGAGGAAGAAATCCCAAGTGTCAATAAAAATGGTCAGAGAAACACAATTATGGACACTTGGGGTTCCTCCCTCTTTCCCTCATTTGCCACTTTTTCTGCCTGAGTGACTGGCCAGTGGTCTACCTAGATCAGTGGCTCATGCAGATAGGCACTCCTTAAATGGAGGAGGGAGCCTTGTTTGGGGGAGGGATGGAAGCCCTTAAAACACTTTTTTTTTCTTTCAGTTGTTGAACGTATGGGGGCCTGTGCATCCATGTATAGCCGTTCTATCCAGGGCCATCATGTCTGCCTACTGGTGAAAAAGGTGAATCCAAAAACAAAGTACAAAGCACAAAATTGTGCAACCAGTGCATTGTGATAGCATTAGCATATATATAATCAGTCAGTTACAAATGCTAAAGCACAATAGGTCTCTGTTGCATTGTACATATGATGCATTGCAGAAACTTCTTTAAACCAGGTATTTTAATCATAGGTATTCAGTGGTAGGTAGTGACTTTTCTTATCTGTAGATTTTTTCCTTCCTCAGTAAAATATACAGATAGTCCTCACTTAATGACCCCAATTTGGACCGGCAACTCTGTCACTAAGTGACACAATCGTAAAGCCAAAAATCACGTGACTTACTATGGCAGTCCCAGCACTTACAGTTGCAGTCGTTAAGCAAATCCCGCATGGTTGCTTAGCAAGGTATCACATGACTGTGACTTGTGACCCCCCGCCAGCTTTCCCATTGAGTTTGCTTGTTGGAAGCTGGCTGTGAAGGTTGCAAATGGTGATCACATGACCGTGGGGCACTGTAACTGTCATAAATGTGCAACGGTTGCCAAGCATCCAAATCATGATCACATGACTGCAGGGAATGCTGTGACAGCCACAACTTCAAGGACCGGTCATAAGTCTATTTTTTTCAGCACCGTCGTAACTTTGAACAGTCACTAAACAAATCATCATTAAGCAAGGACTACCTGTACTCTTAATAATATCCTTAGTTAGAATATCAAGATTTGATAATATATCAGTTATAGTAGTTAATGCAAAGGAAATTGTTTATTTTTTTTTGGAATTCATCCAATCAGTGTTGCTTTTGTAATTACTTGTTATTTACAATAATACATTCATCTACTTCTTTAATCACACCATTTATGGAAAGCAAAGAAGACTGCCATCAGATGACGGGTAGTGGCATAAGTAGTGTTGCATGTTTGTCAACTTCCAGACAGTGGACTTGCTTTTTAAAGAGAGTGAGTTAATCTTGTGTGTTCAACACCTCTCAGTCTGACCCCCTACTAAATCCATGATATGGATCGCCCTCCCTTCATCAGGGGAGAAGTGAAGTTGCCTCCAGAATTCCTACCAGACAGAGGTAAAGCTTGACAGATCCTTGTAAGAGTAGGAGAAAAGAACAAGCATGACTTGGTTTCCAGGCAGATGAAAGGAAAGATGATGACTCTGGATAGGGAAGAGACAAGAATCATGCTATCTGCCCCTACAATATCTGTTGTTTTTTCTCTCCCCGCCCCCCCAACAAATCCTTTGGCAGGGAGAAAACTCGGTGTCCATCGATGGAAAATGTGATGATTCAACCTTTTTGGGAAACCTGCTGTCAGAACTCAAAGAGACCCTGTCAAAATGTTGAGTGTGCTCAGAAGCAGGCGCAGTCCCCCGTCCTTCTGGCCCTCCACGAAAGCAGCACCCTGAGACTCACAGACTGAAACCAGTGGAGTGTTCGATTTCTCTCCTTCTGCGCACATGTTTGATCTCCCAGGGCATGTGTTTTCCATTTCCTCTCCATTCTGGGTTGTGGTGTTCGTTTTTTGTCTTTTGTTTTAATTTTGTTCCAGTTTACACATCTTAGGACTGTGCTCTCCCCTCTCCTCTATTTTGAACGGTTTGACCGTCTTTGGAGTTAACCATTTCCATAGCAAAGAAATCCCTGTTTGTATTGACATCTTGGCAAGGAGAACAGGGGAGAGAGTTACGGAATCCATATTGGAAACCCTTCAGGAACAGCATCGCTGGGTGTGCTTGCCCATGCAGGACTCACTCTGGGGTGTGAGCGGATCGATTCCATTTATCATTTTAAACTGCCCGTGCTAAAGGAGGAAAAGGTCAGAATGTCTCTCCTCTGTAACCAACTGGGATGTGTAATCCCTCCTTCCCTAAGGCTGTTCCAGAGCATTTCCTGCTGCCCCAGGCTGGGACTGGTTAATCCTCTCCCATCTTGGTGGATTCCCACAGGAATGTTTGAAGTCCAATGCAATATCTCATTCGTGGAATTACAAAGGGTAGCCTAATTAAAAGTCCAAAGTCACTGTGCCTGTGTGGGTTTGGGGATTCTGTGATTATTTTCTTTCTTCTGTGTTAGGTTGAGCAATCCCAGGGTAGAGCCAATCTCCCATTCCCAGCTTTTACAAAGCCTACTCTTAAGCAGATGGACACAAACCTAGTGACAAATTGGTTTTGAAAGTATCCTCAGACCAGAGCCGCAGCCGGTGGTTTCTTTTTTTTTTCAAACTTTCCTTTTTTCCCTCGGCAAGATTGGAAGATATTAGTGATTATCTATTACAGATTGGGTGGAACACCTTGATTGCTGTTAAAAGGCAATGAGAAATTGCTCCATGGCAGCCCATAACTTTTTTTTTTTTTAAATTCTCCCACAATGAAACTTCACTATTGGACATTCTAAACACTGATATTTAGAATCCTGAATTTGGGAGTCCGGGGGGAGGGAGAGTGGGGGGAGGAGAGGATGGAACAGGCAGAACCCTTTGGTCTCTGGCTTGCTTTATATCCTCTATGTTTCGAGACTTTGGTGCCTCAATATTCTTCTGTGTGGTCAGGGGTCTTTTTTTTTAATATCAGTAATTAGGTCTGTTGGGAGCAGAGCTGCAAGATTTACTGAGAATAATTTAGCATCTCTCCCAATATTGCAGCAGATGTTGGTGAAACAGTTATTGAAAGGAGTGAGGCGGGAGGGTGTTATTCGTTGACTTTTTGTGGATTAGTGCAGATTTTGTTTGGGGGACAAATCTGCGCATATTCAAAAATGTCTTAAAGGGCAAATGCTCCTTGGAGTTAGTGGATTTTAAATATATATATCTATATATATATATATTCCTGGATGAAAACTTGTCACTTTAGCATGTAGAGTCTGTTCTCTTACAGAACCCTGTGCAGTGATTCTAAAACCTTCTGAAAATTGTACAATATGTTATGTTTAAAAAAACAACTTATTTACTATCGACATTCCCCCACAAAACACATACCACAAAGCTGCTGTAAGAATTTTTTGTGTCAAGACGATCGAATAAAATTTCAAAACTTACAGAATTTGAAAATCTTTTGAATTGTGCCTGAATACTTAATGGCAAATGCAGAATGTCTTAGAGCACTCAATCCCTTTTCCACTTGGTACAAATTGTCTCCTGGCCCTTAACAGTGGGTAGTCTTTAACAGCTGAACTGACAACCAGGAATTATAATGGGTTGAAATTCAGATTTTAATTTAAAGGAGTTTTAATTGTGGTTCATTTTATTGCAGATGGTAAGATTGTGAATAGCCATCATTGCCCCCTCCCCTCCAAAAGGATGAATGTGAATTGCCTGCTGAAATCCTGAAGGCATAGATTGCACAATAAAGATGGGAGGCTCGATTGTCCTGAATGTTTCACTGTGTTCCTGCTACTTAATAGAATGATAGAGGTTTTAAGTGTAGGGTAAACTGCAAAAGAGCAGAAATAAATGTCCTTGTGTGATGTGTGTGCGTGTGTGTGCTTCAAGTCAGTACTGACTCCTGGCAACTGCCTCGACAGTTTTTCACTTAAAAAACTGCTGGATGAGCTAATAAGCAGTGGGAAACTCTAGAATAAAACAAACAAATATTTTGATTGAAACATTTATTTGATTTAGGTTTAAAAGTAGTGATGGATGAACTCATTTTGATAATATTTCAGAATAGCTTAGGAAACAAAGGATATACATAGAAGAACCCTTGATTAGATTGTTCATCTATTTTTCCCTTTGGCAATATGGTTGGAGCTGAGAAATGACTTTTGCTTGCCTCTTGAGGAAACTCATCACATGTAAGTGTGCTAGAAAATAAGATGCCTGTAGGCATCAGTGTTCATATAAACATCTTCCCCTGCTGTGTTCCTTTGCTCACTTTATTTTTTAGGTTTTTTTAATTGAAAACAGGGTAACCCGCTATGCTTAAAACAAAGCGTCACCCTCGATAATCAGCATTTGCAAGAAATACATCTGCGGCCCACATAGCTATATAGGCATTCTTAGAAAATGATAGTGGCTACAAGTCAAGTATGCCTGAAAAGTGTGACAAAGGTAAGCAACGTCAGCAACTTGCCTTTCTGGTAAATGGGTGCTTTGCAATTGGTCACATCCACCATGGAAGCCATTTTGGAAGGCTCTCAAAATTCCAAGGTGACCACCAATCAGAAAGGATGGTTTATCCCTGCATTGTGAGATGGGTGGCTATATAAATGTGACACATAAATAAAATAAATAAATTACATCATAGCTGTCTTTAAATCTGACCAGGAAAAGTGGGAGGGAGCTCATAATTAATTTGCTTTTTTGTCCATCTTGTTTCAGAAGGGCTCCAGAATTTTCCCGTACTGTTGGGGAACAGGGACATTGAGAAAATGCTCTTCTTCAATGTGCATATGAATATAGGGGGGTTAATCAGTGGGATAGCAGTTAGACGAATCTCTTCACTTTATTTTGTGTGTTAAATTTGTGTTACACAAAAGAAACAGCAACTCAACAACTAGGCGCAAGTAGTTGCAAGACAGGTGTGTCATCTTCCAGGTCCTTCAAGGCCATCAAATTGAGCCAGTTTTTTGATAGAGTGTCCCCTATACCTAGAAACAGGGGAAACCCAAAGGTATTAGTAACTGAGTGTCATGTCTCTCCCCTCCCTGACACCCCATATTTGTTAGGTGAGCATCACTCATTCAGCCCAAGCCAAAACAAGCCCTTGATGACTTGGGTCAGTCATTGAGGAAAGCATGGAAGGTTCCAGTGGGTGTCTCAGTTCATTAGACACACTTTCCCCCCGTCGATTACCTCTAATTAAAATGTATGGTTTTTAAGCATCAATGGGCTTAGACTCAACATCTGACCTTTTTTTTATGGGGGCCCTCTGGTAACCTCATGGAAACTCAACAATCCTGCCCACTGCTTTAAACAGTTGTTAATATTTGCCCATACATATACACAAGGGCTGGATTGCCGAACACAGTAAATCAGAACTCAAACATCCCCATTATAGCTTGGTGCAACGAGAGAATCATTGCAAAAGGGGTTCAGCTAATCAGGCCTCTTGACTCCCATTAAAGGCAAGTCAGTGTTTCTAAAGCTTAATCCCTACTTGAGTTTATGAACCCATCTAGACAGTGTTCTTGGCAACCATATGGGAGTGGTTGCCAAATTTTTTGACTTCCCAATCTAACCCACAGCCCTTGGATCTTGTAGTTATTTCCCATCCCAAGGCAACCCTGCTTAGCTTCAGAGCCCCAACAAAGTCACCTAGCATTCCCACTTGCTATGATTCAGTTGAATACTGCCTTTGACTAAAGGTTCCACTTAGCCACTGATTGCTCCAAGGGGGGGTCGGAATGATCCCTTTTTAAAATCATCTCAGCCAGCAGCTTTTGCAGCAACTTGGTGTCCAATAAATATAGACAAATTTGATGGAAGAGAAACAATTTGGAAAAAGTGTTTAACAAAAATACAAATGTATAAATGTTATAAAAACTGCAGCAAGGGGGCATCATAAAAAAGCCTTATTTTGTGGGGGAGTAGTTTTGAAGGCCACGTTTCTTGGGAACAATCTGTTGGGGATTGCTGCCTTACAATGTAACTCAAGAAGAACAAGCTCACCTTCTCCCACTTCCTCTCTGCCAGTGAAATGGTGAAATCCTGCCATGTTTGCCAGATGTCACTTCCAAAGGGTGTTTTAAATTAGGTTCTGAATTTCACGGCCTTGATCTAAGAGGTGGTATTCTCTCAAGAAAGAATGCTGCTCTTAACTAAAGACAGTCTTTCTCAACCTTGGCAATGTGAAGATATGTGGACTTCAACTCTCAGAAGAAGCCTACATACCTGCAAATTGCTAAGGTTGAGAAAGACTGACTTAAAGTATTCCTCTTTCATTTGCACCCAGAATGGGTGACTTGGTGCTTGCCCCATGAGGTTGGATTCCAACTTCCATCAGCCCTAGCTAGCATAACAGTTGGGAATAATGGGGGCAATAGTCAATTATCATCTTCACATTATGCCTATTGTGTTATGTGCACAGAATGTTTGGAACTGTAGCATGTAAAGATTGGAAGGTGATTTAGATATCAGTCTAGCCCTCTGCCCAGGGCAGGTATTCACCACTACAAGATTCCAGACAGGTGGTTATCTAGCTTCTGTTTAAAAACTTCCAGCAATAAGTGTCATCCTCTTCTCAAGGAAGCCTATTCCACTGTTAAACAGCCCTTGCTACTGGGAAATGGCTCCTGATGACCAATTAAGATCTTCTTCCTCATAATCTAAACCTGCTGTTTCTTGTCCTCTCTTCTGGAAAAACTCTGAACAATTTTGCCTCATGTTCTACATGACAGCCATTTAAAAACAGCTATCATCTCTTCTTGCTGTCTTCTCTTCTCCAAGCTAAACATCCATTTCCAGCCATTCTTCCTACATTTTCCTTCTGGACTCCTTCTCTTCATTACCTTCTTCTAGAGAAGATCCAGTTTCTCAGTATCATTCCTAAAATGTCATTCCTAGGGCTTTTTTTGCTTCTCATTAGGAAATGTTTACAAATTTAACCAATCAAATGAAAGTGATCAACTTAAAGTAAGTTAGCTTAAAGTAAGTTAGTACTAGCACTGTGTAAAATAACCCTGCTTACTTAAGAATCAGCAGTCTGACTGAAACAGTCAGCTTTCCCCAAAACTGTCTTGCTAAAGATATACTTAGAGGTTCTTTAAGCATAAAACAGGATCAGGCATTGACAAAGGCACACACAGCACATGCAATAATGTGGTTTGGATTTTGGATCAGTGAATTGTGTAAACTCAGCCACCGTGTTTTCCTCAAACCACAGTTAAGCAAACCATTATTTAGCAGGGTATGACCTCAAATTTCTGTATAAGTTGATGAACAAACTGCATCACATTGGAGTTTGTTTTTTGGAAGGGTGAAGAATCCCCCTCCCCCATTTGTAGGGAAAACTAGACTGGCACACTGCATGCTAAATCAAGCAGTTACAAACTATAGAAATCTCTGGACCTCTTAAACTCATTCTTTGACGAATCTAAGTCTTCATGCTCTTGAAAACTTACTTGTAAAATTCAGTGTCTCCGGGCTATAGAAAGAAGGAGGAAATTAAAGTTAACAGTGGATTACTGTAAGAGGAAGTTTGGAGAATGGTAAGTACAAACATCAAATAAGGGGTATTTTCTGAACCAAACACCAGCTGTAGCAGAATCCTATTCAATGAACATCTCAAGAGCAGAAGTGAGAAGATGTTAGCCTCCAGGGGTGTCCACAGGTTATGGTCAAAGAAGTCAAGATGGTGTGATTGCACGTAACGGACAGAGCTTCAATCACACCATTGTGGCTGCCTTGCTGACTTTTTTTGACCATACCCTGCAGACACCCCTGATGGAGTCTCTTGTTCACCCTCAGCAATGAGAAGAGCCCTTGATCACATAGTCTTCAGTTAGCTATTGCTCCTAATGGCACTAGATTGGAATGATCTAACGATGTAAGCAGGACATTTGCAACGTTTCCACAGCAACCAGCTAGGCCCCTGAACTCCATGTCCTGTGCAAAACTCTAGTCACCTAATGTGGAGGTACCTTCATGGTGCTCTCTGCAATTCCTTGATTTTATTGCCTTGAACAACTTGGGATTGTCAGCAAACCTTTTCTCCTTTTGACTTTCTCCTAACTCCAAACAAACTGAAAAGCAGCTCTCATCCCCAGAGTTTCTATGTCTCTCCAATTAGAAAATTTATCCATTTATTCTGGAATTTCCTGTTGTCATAGACTAGTAAGTGGGAAAAGAATGTCTGCCCTGTTATTCCAGAACGATTACATTTGCTGAAGAGCCTTTGTTACATCTGGCCTTTCAAAGGCCCTTACCAAAGGCCTCTTGGATTTCCTCTGTGTACGTGCTAGCGTTTTCTGGGTCCATGTGGCGTGCCGAATCATAAACATACCACACTGATGCACTATGCACAACCCACAACTAGGCTGAAATGTGGCTGGCTAATTTATGGTTCACAGTGCTATGCAAACACAGCCGCTGCGAGGTGCGCTGTTCCCTGAGGTGGGAGACTCAATCCCATATATCTCTGGAACGAGGAAAACTCTTCTTGAAAAACATGAAATGCTGCGGCCAGTTAGTGCAAGAACAGCAGTTCTGCCTTCCCAAATCTTTGGGTGTGGCTGCCAGAGCTTCCAAAAGTTGTCACCCAATTTTAATGTTTCATGTGACAAAACAGGAAAATGATGAGAGCCACGAGGAGGAATTGTATCAACATCAATTGTATTGCGTGAATGGTGGTTTAAATTATGTTC